GAACCACTGATGAAACGTCCTACGCAGTTAGCCATCTAATAAATCTTGGTTCACCACATATCAGATTCAGCTGTCGCTCAAGCGATAATCTAGTCGCTTGAGCGCCTCTGAACGCGACCTTAGATAAGCATATGTTAGATAGCGGTTTAATTTAAACCGCTGTCTAAGCAATGTTAATAATCGAGTATAACCTAAAGTAATCGATCATATTATCTCATTTTTCTAATATCGCTCAAGCGGTGTCATCCTCGCTTGAGCGACTGGTAAACCACATACGAAACGTTCTACACAGTTAGCCATCTAATAAATCTTGGTTCACCACATATAATATTCAACTGTCGCTCAAGCGATTACATATTCGCTTGAGCGAATCTGACTGAGAGTCACGAGGCGACCTTAGATAGCGGTTGATAAGAACCGCTTTTAACAAAATATATTAGATAGCGGTTAAAACTAAACCGCTGTCTAATGTATATTAATGATCGATTATAACCTAAAATAATCGATCATATGATCTCATTTTTCTACATAGTCGCGTGACCTTAGATAGCGGTTGTTAAGAACCGCTTTTAAAAATATATATTAGATAGCGGTTAACAGTACCGCTGTCTAAAGTATGTTAATGATCGATTAGAACCTAAAATAATCGATCATATTATCTCATTTTTCTATTATCGCTCAAGCGAAATTCACATCGCTTGAGCGACGCCACCTCCTAAGAATGGGGTCACCCATGTTACATTATGCGGCTAACTTTGATTGACGTTTAGCCCAAGGTCAATATTCGCTCAAGCGAAATTTACATCGCTCGAGCGACATCTGGTTCAAACATGATATTTGTCACTTTTAAGAGTTGTAGACATATAAACATTATGTGGTTAATTATGATAGACATTTAGTCATGTTTTACTATTGGCTTAACCATATATCTGCTGACCACCTCAACTTTATGTGCTTAACTGAACATGACATTTTTGTGTTAATTAGGTGCTAAATTTGTATAGCCCACATTATATGCTTAACCACTTGACTATATATCATTAAATGCACATAAACATACATGATCAGTCGAACAACACATCAGAGGAAGATACAATGCTATCACTATGAGATAAAAAGTATGTACAATATAATATTATCACAGGCCACAAAAATTACATCATAAAGGTCTGCATCAAATATAAATTACAATTACAACAAAACCTAACAAAATAATTCATCTACACAACACTTATGTCGCCTTTTTTCTTTTCCTTGAATTAGTCGTCCACGGTGTTTTGACCATAAAACTTTTATACCTTGTTCTTGGATGACCTTTAAGTCACGTATACATATTTGACCCTTCACAATGCAACTTTGATTCTTCTGTTGCTTCAACATGATGCTTCATCTCTTTAATACTACTACCTTCAAATACTGGAGAAAAGTACATCCCACATGATGGAGGATTTACTTCTTCTGTTGATAGTTTTGCTTCATCTAACAATTCGTGTAATTGTGTTACATCTTCCTCTAGTTTTTCAATTGTTGATTCCTGTTGTTTGGTTACGGCGATCAACATTTGATTCTCAGCCATAATTCCACACAACATATTAGTCAAATTTTTCACTTCTTCAGATGCATAAGTGGTATGTCCTAATGCTTCTTTCACTATATCATGCGCAAGCTCTTCATTTCTGACGCACAAGTCATGAATAACCTATGAGTAACAAACAATGTCAAATTGAAATCACATTTTGACATATGGTAAAGTAATATTGCAAACAAGTTCTACTAAATTTTTAATGAACTAACCCTATTATGATTAAACGCAACTACAATCTTGCTTTCCCCAATTACAACAGAGGTCCATTGTAAAAATCTCGGAAATCGACTTATCTCATTACATGATTTGGTATTATAAAATACATGCTCCATAACCCATACCTGAATTCATATAAACAAAATGCACAATATCAAATCAGCTGACTATATTGAAAGTATTCTAACAAAACATATATCGTAATTTAAGATTTACCTGTAACAAAAACACACATCCTAGTACACGGAAGTGTGAACAATTTCTTCGTTTCTTCAAATAAATCGATGCTTCACATAAACTTCCAACCAGATATTCATACACTGCTTTTCCCCAATTATACTTTCCAAGACAAGATATATTATCTAATAACTTAAAAAATCCACAATGTGCGATACCTACTTTATTAGGGAATAAAAACTCTGACAAACCTAAAAGTATGTACAACCTACAAAAGTCATCCACATCCTTATCATTTTGACGTTTAACAAGTTCATTAAAAATCATTTCCAAAGTAACATGTTTCCCAGTAAATAGTCTCCTAGTATGACAATCAATGTTTCCTTCTACAATGTTGACATTTTCGCCTACTACACGAAGTCCTAAACCTAAACACACATCTAATAGTGTAAAGCATACTATCTCAGACCTTATATTAAATCCTCCTCTCTTTTCAACCCATCTACTTATTAATTCACTAAGCAATGTTCTACTAATTTTGACCTTTCTACCCAATGACATCAACCATTTAAATGGTGTTGCCTCAATACGACTTCTTTGCTCTGTAGTAAGAATGTTATTCACTTCACCCAAATAATTAGTCCTGCAAACATGTCGCAAATATACCTGAAAATCACATTAAATAATTATAATTATCATCAACAATATCCTATATTATATAAATGGATACAACATTCACCTTCTTAACATTTGAAGATCCATCGTCTACGCTTTCCATTTCAAACTGCAAATACATGTAACCCTATTTAATTTGAGTTCATAGTATAACATTTATTTACTGTCATGACGTTTACTACAGGTCGAGCACATTCATACAAGTATTTCATGACAACAATCTGAGTATCATCTAATAATGAATATCATAAAAGTTATGTCAAAGCATATACTCATTTTCATTACTAAGGGTCAATAACATGCAGTAAGAAAACACAATTTCAGATCACAATGTAGACAAACTCTAAACCCTAAACCCTAAAAATATATAATGCACTAACTCCCAATAAGCGCCGCCTACAACAACAATGGCGAATGGAGACTGGAACGCGAACTTGGCGACACACAGATATATTACAATGTAATATGCTTCAATGTGAGCAAGAGAATCAGAAAGATTGAAAATACAAAGAACGTACCTTTAGCTTAATGGAAGACGCAGACAGCGAGAATGAGAGCGCAGAGAGCGGCAAAAAAAAGGCAGACAGAAAGAGTTTTTAGATAGCGGTTCACTCGTAACCGCTCTTTAAAAGTATGACATTAGATAGTGGTTACTTCTGAACCGCTAATAAAACATACTTTAGTGAGCGGTTTTTATTAACCGCTATCTAAAGTGGAGTCGCTCAAGCGAAATTTATATCGCTCGAGCGACGATACCTGCCACAACACTACGCATTTAATATTTTTTTATTCGGTAACACTGTGCATTTAATATTTTTTTATTGGGTCGTCGAACGGATGTTTAAAATCGGTTGTCAAAATATCAGGACTCTAAAATTAAACATGGTGTAAATACTAAAGAAAGAAAAAGGCTATAATGAGGAATCAATTTTACTTACTATAAATTATAATAACTATCATACTATTTAATATATTCCATTAGATAAATTTATAACAAAATTGTTATGAATATAAAAGCCAATGTATTATTTAAGATTATTTATCTTGGGGTAACCAACAATGTAAGCAAAAGGTTTTCTATGAACACAACACAAACACAAAGAAACCTTACATAAACTCAAGGGTCAACCAATTTTAAAATTCACATGATTAACTAAATCTTAAACATAGAGGTTGGTATTCTATATTTTATTTTCTGAAAGTCCATTTTTATAATAATGTTTTTTTATTAGGTTAAATAAAAAGGAATTGATTGAAAGGAATGAAAGGTTAATGTAGATAAATTTATTTGAGGAAAACAATGTTATTTCTTTGAGAAATCAACACCTTTTAGTAGATAAAATGTATAAATTTTCAAAATTTGAAACTAGTATGGAAAAAAGCTTAAAAAGAGGACATAAATAATAAAAGGGTGCATAATTACAACTAAGTCTTTTTCTTCACATCTTGGAGACATTATTAAGACAGTGATGGCTTGTGGTATCATACTTTATGCAATGTTTAAATGTTACTAAATAAAAACTAAGTACATATATGAAGAGTTACTACTAAGAATTGTTTAGAAATAAAAATAAATATTTGATTGTGCTATTCATATTTAAATTACTTAAAAATGAAGAAAGTTACTTAAAGATGGAGAAAATTGTTTAAAATTGGAAGAAAGTTATTTGAATAAACAACTCTATCAAGTTTTAAACAACTTAACTATAAGATCTATAATAAAATATTTAATTTTAATCTTAAGCAACTCTGGTTAAAAACTACCATTGGATATGCTCTAGTTAGTTGCCATAGAAAACAGTAATATCTCAGAAAATGTATCCAATTTACAGTAATGCGCCATATTTTTCCTGCTTGAGTATTATCCTTCACAAACTAATTAGTTAACCAAATGAAAACAACATAGATTTATGAGATCATTATTTTGCTGAAAACACATGCACTGACAACTCTTACTTTGATATGAACATCAGAGAAGTAACAGAAATTTTCATTCAAAGTTCAAAGCACTTTTTCTTTCCAGGCTAAAAGTACACAGTCACTGGCATCACTGTCAGATATTTTATTCAAAATCAGAAGATACAAATCATTCACAATAGGTATGGATTCTCCAAAGCAGAATGAAACAAAAAGTATATGGTGCAAGTTGAGGTAATATTGCGACACAAAACTCCCCTTTAAACCCTATATGCAGAGCTTCTAAAGAAAATTCAAGGCAAATCTACCTATACTTTCTGCAGTGCCTTCAGCTCGTTGGCTTCACAACAACTACCAAAGCTCAGGTTTATTTTCCTACCATTCTTTACAAAACAAGTCAAAAAGCTAGAAAATGTCTATGCAGATTCCATCAACTTGGTGTGTTTGCAGAAGGTTTTTTCTCTTGAAGAGAGATCACAGTTTCAAAGGCACCAACCAATGCTTTAACCTTGCTCTTCCGAGTTTCGACTAGTTTACTTGCTGTTTCCTCGATTACATTATTAAATAATCCTTGAGCATCTTTCTTGTCCTGCATATCTTGATGTCTTAAAACAACCTTCTCTGGACCAGTTGTAGCACCATTGCTGTCAGCACAGACTTCATTTTTTCCATAGCTTTTCCGGGCATCACCCTTTACGTTGGCTCTCCCACCCAGCGCTCTTGCTCTCCGAAACTTAAGCCTCCTTGGACTACTTATCTCAGTTTCATTTTCAACCACTTTTCCCCTTCTGAAATTTAATTTTACCATTTGGTTGTCATTGCCTTTGGAACATACAACCCCATTCTTTTTGTTTTTGTATTTCTTCTCATCTTCCAATTTCTCCTTATTTTCTATACATTCAATGTCATGGTCTCCTGAAAAGGAATCATGCTCAAATTCACTAGTTGTATATTCAGATTTCTCTTGGTCTACTTGGGACAAGGATTGAGAACTTGAGGATCCAGAAGACTTAGGCGATGACAACTGAGGGAGGTATGATTCATCATCATAGCTTGCATTCTGATCAGATTGCAATGTTTTGTCTTCACTTTCCATCTTGATGACATACAAAGTCTTCTCCTCTACGTCATTGTTGTCGCGTTCCTCGAGTTCAACCTTATTGTCAGTCTGCTGATTCTTAAGGTGAGGTACAATTTTCAGGCTCTTAAGCTTTCTTGAATTTGAACTTGCAACTCTTCTAAGGGAAGATCTGGGGGATAATAAAGCCTTCTGAGGTGCCATCAGTTTTTTTATTGAACTTGCTTTGAAGGAGGTAGCCCCTTTTTCCATCTTGATATTATTATATCTTTGGCCACCATCATTATCTGTGGAATTCATAGAAGATATTTGCTTCTTTCTAACGCTGCTTAAATTTAAAGAAGTCGAGCGTTTTACAGACGACTTTGCTTCTTTACCTTGGAGAGAAGATAACCGTGATGAAGTTTTCACCACATTGGAAGTTGGTTTTGATGAAGTTTTGACCTTGGAGACTGGTTTTGATGGATTCCCCATCTCACTAGAAGTAGGTTTTAATGGAGAGTCCTTCTTATTGGTGGTTGACTTTGATGGAGCTTCCACCTTCCTGGAAGTTAATCTAGATGGAGTTGCCACCTTTCTTGAAGCAGACTTGTATGGGGACTGGACCTCCTTAATTGAAGAAATTTCTTGTCTTATTGACGGAGATGTATGGCACTTCAGGAGTAATGGTTGAACCTTGGCCAATGATGATTTTCTCGTGTTCACACGAACTTCATTCCCTGATTCCTTTTGGCTGTCAAATGATTTTGTTGGCAGTTTCTGCATACAAGTGTCAGATGTATCAGAAATCATCTTGGAATCAACTGATTCTTTGAGTTTGCATGTTGGCATCTTGGTCAACTTGGAATCTACACTGAGACTAGCAACTGATATCATCGTCTCACCAACACTACCTTCAAAACTGTGGCGAAGCTGTTTTCTCGTAGCTCTATCAGGTATAGAGCGTCTTTCCTTCAATTCAAATGCATCTTTCTTCCCATATTTGCAAAAATCATGACAAGAACCAGCTGAAGCTCTGAGATAATTGGGAACGATTTTTTCAACACTGGTTCCAGAACTAGCTTTGTCAGCTAAATGCCTTCGTTTTTCAACCCCAGGTGACATAGACACTTCTGGGGTCACTGGTAGTAATTCACCGCTTTCGTTGGCCATCAGATTGGAGATGTGATATGCTAATGAGCAGAACAGGATTCACGCCAAAAATCCTGAAACTCTAAAAAGAAAGATAATGTTAAATACAGCTGATATAGAGGAGAGTGTGTTAAGTAGAACTTTAGAACAAGCCATTCATATCTCTATAACTTTGTGGTGGAAAGGAATGAAAACGTATCTCCTATTCATCTATGCTTCAAATCATAATCTTTGAAAGTCGCACAGAAAAAGAATTTGTTGTTTGACATCCGATTTTCTTCATTCAATCCACAACAATACACCCTCTTCCATCATTGTAAAATAAAATATACATGGAACTAGTAATGTAACACGAACCAGCCAGAACGCCACAACCAGAGAAGGAAAAGAAGTCATCAAACACCCAAAAAGAAAAATCATGATGCCCCAGTTTGGTAAACTACTATTTCTCAAGCAAACATCAATAAATCACATTCTCATGTCTTGTAAGCATACGTACTTTAAGGCTGTGTCATAATTGTGAAACAGCAAGCTTTGCCATTAACTGACCCCGTAGAAAAAGAAGACACTCTTCAAGCAAGCACATTAACCGTGCAACCAATCATCTAACAAATCAATGAAGAATTAGAAATGCAACAAAGTCCACCTGGGTGCTGAGAATCATAAATCAATGAAAATCAAAAGCAGCAGAATATTCATCCAAAAACAAACCATCACCAGATATTGATTTTTCATCAAGTCACAACCCAACATCACAAAAAACACATTGAAAAACTTAATGGCCAAGAAAACTCTTTTTTCCTACACCACCACCATAGACAATCATCTTTTATAGGGGATGAAAAATCAAATTCTTTTATATTGTTTTTAAGAAAAAAATACCTCAGATGATAACCAATCAAATACAACAGAGAAACGAATCAGGGGAATCAGAGGAGATTCAGAAAACCCATTTCAATCCACCAAAGATCAAATTTTTCAACAAAAACATTTGCATTTAGAGGATAACAAGAACAACCCAGATGATGAACTTTTATTAGGAACGTGTAGGAGAAGAAACATACCTTGTTGTTTTCAGAAAAACAAAGGGTGGTTCTGAACCAGAAAGGAGAAAGAAAAAAGAGGAATGAGAAAAAAGTGAAGGGTGCAGAGTCGAGTAGAAGAGGAAGAAAAAGAAGATGGAAAAGGAGAAGGGACCACAGGAAGAGAACGTGCAAGCAAGTGTTGTGTTTTATTTCTCTCGTGTTGTTTCTGGTTCGGTGTTGCGTGTCCTCTCACTGCGTTGGTTTGTTACAGAATCCAAAGAGAGAGAAACAGAGAGAGAATAGAAGCGTTCAATTTTTTGCATTATTTTGTTGGTCTTTGCTGAAATAAAACAAGAATGGGATTAGGAAAGTGTAATCAGCAATTTAATAATAAAGCACACGATTCAGAAGGGTTATTAAGGAACCTGAGAATGGTTGGTTGGTTGGTTTGGTTGGTGAAAACGTTAAAATGGTTTTCTGAAAATTTGGCCTGTAAGATGACAACAGGGAAAGAAAACAATGATCAAACAATTGTTATTTTCTTTCGAAGATAAAAAACGTTACCTTTTCCTTTTACTATGTTTCTTATTTGAATGGTTTATGTAAGAAAAAGTTAAACAATAAAAACCGTTTTTACTCCTTTTTTTCTCAAACAAATATTTGAAAAACAGAGAATATTTCAGTCAAAGGCAAAATCAGTGTAACTCATCATGTGTTGACCGAAGTTTATGCCAGCGCCTTAGTACAATAAGGTCAAAATGTCCTATTTTTATTTTGTTTCCTATTTTAGGCATTTCTTGAAGTAATAATGAATAATAAAAATTAATTTAACAGTTAATCTTTTAAAGCTTAACATGACATAGCAAGTGAAATAACACTTCACTCCAACTCATCATTTGTTGATTCGACCTGGTTTCTCTCTTCTGTGTTTTTGTTGTGAATCTCTCTTCCATCTCACTTAATTTATCATTACACTTATTACATGATTTCTAATAAAAAGTTTAGTTAATATTTCAATAAAAAAATAGTGTAATTTGAAGTTACAACAAAATATACTAGAAAATTGATTCAATAATAAAATAAATATTTCATTCAAATCTTTACAATATTTATTAGAAATTTATTCGGTCATATCTCAATTAAATCCTTAATAAAAATAATTTATTTAATTAAAAAAACAAAAATATTTATTATTATCTTAAAATAATAAAATTAGTTTACTTATTTTACTAGTTTTTAATTTGATAAAAAAAAAACAAAATAATGGGATTGACCAATCATAACTTTGATTAAACTTGTGAAATTGATGATAAAAAAATTTGATTTCCTGATAATATTGTAAATTGTAGAATGAAGGGTTTTGTATGTTTCACATTTTTTATGAAAAAGAAAAAAAGTTTGTTTCATTTCCCCATCGAGTGATTAAATTAAAGATTAAAGTTCGTCCCCATCACTTTCGAAAACAACATGCTCATCATGTGTTTACAAAACCATGCAATTTGTTTTTTGAGGGAATAATTGTTTCACTATTTAGGGTTCGAGAATACTTTAGATCCAATATTACTCCCACAGTTTCATGATAATTATTGTCATGGTTTTGTGTTGATATACCAGATTAATATATAAGTAATTTGTTTCTTTTTCATATAATTTATTATTTTATGACTTTTAGAAAGAAATTTAATTTTTTTAGTTTATTTACTTAATGTTTTAAATTACTATATTTTTATTATTATCTCACAACATGAAAAAAATATATTTGAGAATCTATAGTAAATGAGAATGAAAAGTGAAATTTTATAAGTTAAATTTAATATATTAAACTCTTTAACAACCTATTTCTTAATTATTTGTTAGGTTTAATAAAAAACAATTAAGAAAAAAACTACGATCAAGATTTTATTAATTAAACATACACTTTTAGAATAATTAGTGTTTTCATGTCGCTATATATTTATTCAAATCTATTAAATTAAAATTAACTTCACATTAATAATATTATATATATAAACATATGATAAAAGTTTAATTTTTTAATCTTTTATTACTTATTAATGGTCTAAAATAATAATGTATATTATTTATTAAATTATAAATTATAAAAAATAGATTTCAATATCTACTCTTAAAATAAATTAATATTTTATCTATCTATATATTAAAAATTTATATAAGTTAATATTATTTTTTCCATAAATATCTACTGCAAAATAATTACTATGAAAATCAATAATATTTTCCATAAATCTTTTAAAAAACAAATTTATAAAAAGCGCAAATAAATATATAATAAAGATTCCAATTTTAATTCATCACAACTAGTTACTTTTAATAGACTTAAATTTTGTTAGTAAAAAGTTATTATATATTTTTTTTACAAGTTTCTCAACATTCTAAATTAAAAATTAATAACACTCAAAATATTACCAAGTTTGTTTGATGAGTTTTCATATACCATAAAAGTTAACTATATATATTTTTATATGAATAATAATTTACACAACGTTATATAAAATTAAAAATCTTGCCATATATAATAAAGCACTACCATTATATTTGTACAATGATTATATTCTATTTATGTTCATGAAAAAGAATTGAAAAAAAAAAGAGGAAAATGAATAATTGGAACCCTAGAAAAATTGGAGTGAGAAGATGACTTAGGGTTCAACCATAGTGGTGGGTGAGTAAGAGGGATTGTCATAGGGCTAAGTGGGGACTCTTTCAACCAATAAAAAGTCATAAAGTAAATAAGATATTTATTTATTTAATTAAATAATTATCAATTAATTAAGTAATCATGTGTTAGTAGAGCAATGAAACTTGTAGAAAAAATAAGCAAGTATGAACCTTCTTTCACTCAAACCCATTTCAATGGTGGGGTCCACTTTCTTGGTCGGTCCAATCTTTTAACTTGTTAAAACATGGTGGACTTTTGTCATCAAATGTTTATGTTTTTTTTTTCTTTTTGTATTTTTTCTCATCAAACATTTATATTATTTCTTCTTCCTTTTTTAAATTAAATATTTATCGTGTTTTTGTTTAAACATATTAGCAAAAAATAAATGTATTATTTACTGATTTTTTTTAAATATTTATATCAACGAATACTAAAAATATTAAATTATATCATCGAAAATTAAAAATATTAATTTACCTTCTACCAATTAAAACAACGGTTTTTTTTTGTTTATAAAAAATTGAGTTTTATGAAAGAGTTATTGAAATTTTTATGTGAAATATTAGTTAGTGAAATTATTTTTTTATTGGAAATTTTTTAGGTGAATGAATGATAAGTTACTAAAAAAAATTAATTACTTCATCAAATCATTTACAAAATTAATAAATAATAGAAAAAAAAAGAAAATTAGATTTTCTACATTTTTAGGAAAATTTTAATCAAAATAAAACTAATATAAATTATTTAAATATGATGTGATGTAATAAAATTAATATTTTATAATTTTGTCAAAGTAAAAAATAAGTTATGTGAATTGTTCACATTATATATGTCCTAAATAAACTATTAATTGTTATTGCTATGTGTTTAATCATTTAATTAATGTTAAAAGTTGTTTTGAATTTGTCTAATTAGAGTTTTAATCAATGAAATATTGTATTTTTTTATGCTGGCCTATCATGGTTTTATGATTAAAATAAGTTTGTTAAGTTTTAACAGAGTAAACAAAAAGATTATATTTTTTCTTTTATATTTCCTGAATTACGCGTGTTTCTTAATTTTTATCCTAACAATTTTTTTTAATTCTTTTAATCACACCTCTGAATTTTGTTATGACAATATATTAAAATAAATTCATATCTAATTGTTTCTTTCATTAATTAATATATTATTTATTTTATATATTTTCTCTCATTTATTTCTTTCATCAAACGATTTTCTTTAATTTCTCTTTAACATAAATTAAATTAATTATTATTCTATTTTATTTTATTTTATTCGTTCCTTCAATCATATATTTTTCTTTTCTAAAATAT